AGTCGTGCGTCAAAAAGCTGTGGAGTGTGCTGGCCCCCTTGGTCTGCCACTTCTTGGACATGGTCAGGGAATCACGCCCCACGAACTGCATGTTCCCCATGGAGCCAGGCTCTGCTTGACCAGCACCCGGGGGACGGTAGCCCGTGCTGAAAATCAGGACGTCGAGTTCATACTCCTTGCCGTTGACCACCAGCCCTTTGCTCGTGCCACGTTCAATCCCACGGGGCAGAGTGCTGACGAGATGGACGTGGGGCAGGTTGAAGGTCGGTAGGTAGTCGTCGTGGAAGCAGGGTCTCTTGCACCATGTTGGGTACCACGGCGTGAGAGCTTTGGCCGTCTCCGGGTCCTTGACAAGCTTGGCTATGCGTTGACGCTTTTGTTCCGCAATGTCTTCGTCGATGGCCAGGAGCCTGGCGATGTGATTGGGGACTTCTTCCGGCTGGATGGGCTTGTCGTGCGGCGCGCCCATGAAACCGATATAAGACAGGGCGTGGGTCCAGCCGTCGTTGACCAGGTCTTCTTCTCCCGGGTTCAAGCCCACCGACCATTGAAGGAAATTGTCGCATCTGTCATGTTGCCAGCCTTTGTGGGTCGCGATCTTGGACTTCCACTCGTCAACATCGGTCTCTCGTTGGCCACGCACGTCGACGCTGGACGGCGTTCGTTGAAAGACATAGAGTTCTTTCGCCCACTTGGCCAGTTCAGGGGTTGCCTGGATGCTTGTCGCACCCGTGCCTATGATCCCTACTCTTTTGCCCTTGAGACGCGTCAAGCTTGGATCCTCGGGTGACCCGCCCGTGACACGGTAGGTCCAGCGCGCCGTGTGAAACATTTCGCCCTCAAAGTTTTCCAGACCAGGCACATTGGGAACCTTTGGATGGTTCAGAAAGCCAGTTGCCGAGATGACGAATTGCGCATAGACAGTCAGGTGGACCTTGTCTTGCCCGGGACCGCGGTTCTCTTCGACCTTGATCGCCCATCTCTTGCGTTGATCATCCCACGTGGCGCTCTCGACATAGGCCCGGAAGAAGCCCGTGAGGCCGTACTTCTGCGCTATACGATCGGCCTGCTCTTTCAGCTCTGTCCCATACGAGTACCTGTGCTTCGGCATGTAGTTCGTCTCCTCGAGAAGCGGCGCGTAGACGTAGCTCTCGACATCGCACATGAGACCTGGATACCGATTCCAGTACCACGTCCCTCCGAAGCCGCCCGCAGTGTCGATCAGGCGGATGTCCTCTGGCCGAAATCCCGCCTCGACGAGGCGCGCTCCGTAGAGCAGCCCGCCAAACCCAGCGCCCAAGATGATGATCTTCACGTCGTCTCCGTCCTTCAAAGTCGGGGTTTGTGCGTTGATTGCCGCATGGTCGACCCATGGATCTTCTGCAAGGGCTTCAAAGCGCTGGCTGGCAGCGGCCTCGAGCTCGATGTACTGTGCAGAGCCTAGTGGATTAATCCGGCTAGCCTTGAACTCTTCGTAATGCTGCAGAACCTCATCCCGGGCAGGGTGTAGGCCCGTGCCATTGCTGATGGGAGGAGGAACTACTGCCATTTCTCAGAGCCTCAACGAAACTGGAAGCAACGCGAATGGAGGCAGGGGTCGATTTGGGCTATAGAAGAGGGCTCCCGAGAGGTCGGATGTGTCCCCTCTTGAACGAAAAGCCGACATCTCGACATGTCGTGGTGTGAGGTCTAGGCACTCCGACTGACGAGGTGTGGTCGAGAACGATCAGATGTTTTCCCCGGACGATCTTACCATGAGAGTCAAGGGAGTAACAAACGGGGGTAGACGGCCAGCCGTCATCACGGAGGGCAAACAATGCAGCTTGCCCGGAACTCGTTGGCACCCACCCTGGCCCCGGAGGAATAAGATGGCGACAAGGCTGCGCCTTTCCCGATTGATACGGAGTATCTCCCATATCGTTCTCGGAGATTCGAAGTTTGCGGGGCTTTTTCTCCATCGGCAACTCCTGGTTTCGGCCAAGTAGGCTAACTGTCGTAGTTTGATCCCAACCCACGGACGGGCACTCTGATGGCTGCCTTAACCCTGTGGCCCTCTCCAGACTCCAGGCTACAATAGCCGCCAACGACACATCGCTGAGCCAGAAACGTTGACACCCCCATCATGGACAACTCCAAAGGGCTCATGCCCTTGATATTCGCCTCTCATGGCACTCCTTTGATGTCAATTACTGACTGTGACAGTACGGCCTGGTTCCGAAAGGTGCGTTCTTATCGAAAAAAAGGCCTCCAAGTTCCAAGACACTCCTGTCGTCACTGGAGCTGACAGAAGCTCTAGGTTGGGAGGGAAATTGTGGCCAATGTCAAGGGAATCGTGATTATCAACTCTCACTGGGTCGAACTCGACGACAAGATCAGAGTTGCCACGAACTCGGACCCTCATGTCGACCTCACGCCTCTGGTCCCCCGTGAAAAGTACGACCATTTCAAGCCGAATATCTCGCGCGACCTGGGACTCCGAGTGATATCGCTGTTGAAGGCTGCTGGATTTCCCGACGTGGAGGAATCGACAACTGCAGAATGGGTCGATGCCCCCACGACTCCCTCACTGCACATGTTTCCAAATGACATGCCACCGGCGACCACAGTGAGCATCAATGCCCGGTACGATCCTGTATTCCACGTGAGAATGGGCCAAGCATTGAGAAGCCTCCGGAAAGAGGGGATCTTGCTCATTGCGTCGGGATCCATTGTCCACAACATCTTCCGTGGGAACCACTTGCCGATCCTGCTACGGCGGGACAACCTACAGAAAGGATCGCAGCCTGCAAAATTTGCGCTGGACTTTGAAAAGTCCATTGATGATATCATCACCAGCAACACAGTATGTTTTCTTCGCCCCGGCCAGTGTCCCCCCCTGATTAGTATACTAACTCATCGTCAGGGTGCTGAACTCGCCGCCGCACTTGTACGCATCACCCAGAGTCCTCGATACCTGGAGGCGCACCCGTCCAACGATCACTTCTATCCGCTGTTAGTCCTGGCTGGGGCCCTCTACGACGATGAAGAAGTATATGGACGGTCAATGGCCAAAACGTACGAGATGAAGAACATCGTCAACGTCCAGTATATGTGGGGTGACTTTGGCCGCAAGCCCATGGTAGCAGGAGTCGCCTGAAAAAAAGAGCCAATCCATTTGGCCAAAGCTGACCGAAGGCCAAAGTTGATCCTTGAAGCGGAGAATTCAAGTGTCTACATAGTCTAGGGGACGAGGACCACCAGCTTTCCAGTGGCCTCGTTCTTTTCCGCACGCTCGTGTGCCTTGCCAATGTCGGAAAGATGGTAGACGCTGTCCACGAAATGCTCCTTGTTCCACTTTCCGCTTTCGATCTTCTTCACAGCGTAGGCGAATATCGGTTCAATGTCGGTGTGCCTCGCTCCGGCGTCGTGGTCACCTATACCGTCATTGGCGACCGAGTAGAAGGACAGGTTCCGGGTGGTGGGTATGAGAAAGGGAGAAAACCCTTCGACAATGGCAGACGAGTTGAGGACGCCAGAGACAACGACGCTCCCAAACAAGGCTGTCCATCCGAGGGCACGCATCGACTGATCCGCTCCCACGAGCTCGACGACAACATCCGCACCATTGGGCAGGATCTGGGGAATCTTTTCATCAAGCTCGGACTCCAAGAGCACATGGTCTGCGCCGCAGTGTTTGAGCTGGTCCACCTTTTTCGCTTGACGGGTGGTTGCAATCACAGACGCTCCCTGATCTTTCGCAATCAGGACGGCGAAAACGCCCACCGACGACGTTGCCCCATGGACGATGACCGAGGAACCTGGTGGTCTGCTCCCCAGTCTCGCCGAGATCATAACCATTCCGTAGGCGGTGAGGAAGCTCATGGGGAGAGCCCCAAGTAATTCCCAGCTCAAGGTGGTGTCTTGCGGTAGATGGTAAACTCGGCGTGAGTGGCAGATGGCATATTCGGCGTAGGATCCGTCAAAGGCCTTTCCACCTCCAGCATGGGTGGACGCAACCTTGTCACCCGATCTGAACGGCGTGTCTGTGGCCGCCTCGACGACTTCACCGACCAATTCTTCGCCCAGAATCTGAGGCGGTTCCGGACGATAGTACTTTTGCCAGAGACTCCATTCCCCAGGGAACGCGGGTGCGGCGGCGCGACCTCGAAGCTCAGCCCTGTTGATGCCGGTGGCACGAATGCGAACAAGAACCCAACCGGATCCAGGGAGAGATGGTCGGGGGTAGGTTTCTGTATAGGTGAAACACGCAGATGGTGGCTCCTGTCCCGGGGATGTCAGGACGAGGGCCCGCATGACACCAGAAGGCTCGTTGTCCCAAGGTCGTGACATGGTCGCAAAGAGATGCTCTCAATGCTCAAATGCTCAAGAGGTCTTTATATCTCCGCCTGATGGGACGTAGAGAAACGTCAATATCAATTCCCCTTGGGTCCTTGGTCGTCGGCGCTGGAAGACTGCTGCTGGGCAGTGTATGTGCGGTTTTGATTGATGAGAATGCTACTTGGCCAGGCCATGAGGGAGATTTCATATGCCATAGTCTACCCAATACAGCCAAGTCGACAAGAGCCATCTGGTATACAGTCTCTGGCGTAATAGCCCGATTTGTCCGAACCACGAGCCCTCGGGGGTTGACACATAAAGTCTCAGAAGAACCGGCGAATGATGGCCTCACGAAAGAAGTATCCCCTCGTAAGCCCCAAAGCCCGAACTAAATCTTCGCCAAATGCACCAAAACCGTCCGCGGCCTGGAAATGCCTACAGATCCACAACCCGTTAATTACATTCTGCTGCTTTTTACCGACGGATAATGCACCTCGTGGGGGCACAAGGGTCTTCGTTGTTCTAGAGGCTTTGCCGACCGTGGTACCTCGTTGGGCGGTCGGAAATGCTTCCTGTACTCGTGTATTTATCTACGTCACCCTTCTCCTCGTCGCCCTGGCTCTCTCATTGTACTGTGGACGTTGAGTTGTACGACGTCGGTAGGCATTACTTCATTCGCACCTATGGCTGCCAACTTGTCTCTCGTGCTGGCCCTGGTAGGGTTTGCACTCGCCTTGTACGCGATTTCGCGCATTGGCCGCCGACCAAAGGACTATCCGCCAGGCCCTCCTACCGTCCCTGTACTTGGAAATCTTCTTCAGGTGCATTCGCATTCACAGCAACTCCTACGTGCCGTGGTTATTCGTTTTGACGTGTGTGTGTGCGCGCGCGCTCGCGAGAGAGAGAGAATAGATGCCCTCAAAGGATGCCCACCTACAGTTCGAAAAATGGTCCAAGATCTATGGACCCATCTACAGCCTCATTATCGGGTCTGGAAAGGTCATGATCATTCTTTCCAGCAACAGAGAGGTCAAGGAACTCCTGGACAAGCGTGCGCAGGCGACCAACGACCGGAGCGACCGCTACATTGGCCACCAAATCCTGAGTAATGGGGAGCGAATTCTGCTACAGGTATCGTTACTCTCGCCTCTGAGATGTGTGGGATGGGATGGAACGAGACGTGATACTGATTCGTGATGCCACCCAAGCCCTATGGCAAAGTATGGCAGAAGCAGAGGAAGATGTACCACAAGTTGTTGAGCATAAGCCTCACGCAATCATACTTACCGTGAGTCAGAATCGCTGAACTGGCTTTCACGACAATAAGTAGTATCTTGGGTGCACTAACCGGTGGCCATCAGGTATATCGAGCTCGAAAACAAGCAGATGAACTTTGATATCCTGACCAACCCGGACCATTTTCTGCGTCACACGAAGAGGTACATGGTGATCCTCCTGTCCTAGGCAAAATGGAAATGTCACACAAGAGGCCGCTAACTCAGAGGGCTACGCGGCAAGGTATACCAACTCTACGACCATGATGATGACATATGGGTATGTCCATGATCCCGTGCTCCTCGTCCACCTCTTGTCTGATCACAATACAGGAGGCGAACCCCCCAGTACGACGATGCGGAAATGAGAGAATATCTCGAGATGTAAGTCGATTCCCAATGTTCTGGAATAGCTGTGTCAGATATGAGACGGCGGCTTAGTCCAAGTACGCACAGCCTTGAAAAGACCACCGGCATAATCCAGTCTACTGCCGCAAATGTTCCTGATGCCTATCCTATTTTTCGCAAGCTCCCTCGGTGGCTGTTACCCGGTGTCAAGATGGCCGTGGAGCACACAAAGAGGGAAGAAGCATTCTACCTCCGACTGTGGAACGAGGTCAAGTTGAAGCTGGATGAGGGGACCCAGAAACCGTGCTTCACGGTGCAGATGTTGCGGGAGCAGGAGAAGGAGGGATTCGACGACCGATTTGGCGCGTACATCTCAGGTGGTTCGCTGGAAGCAGGCACCGACACGACCTCCAATACCATCTTGGCCTTTATCCAAGCGATGCTGCTCTTCCCTGATGTCCAGGAGAAGGCTCACGCCGAGATAGATCGTGTCCTGGGAGACCGTCTGCCGTCCATGTCCGACTGGGCGAACCTGCCGTACGTCAGGGGATGTGTGAAGGAGACGCTCCGGTGGTCGCCTACCACGACGCTCATCGTCCCGCACGCGACGTTTTCTGATGAAATATACAACGGGTATCGGATTCCGCGGGCCGCAGAAATCGTCGTCAACGCCTGGGCCGTCAACAACAATCCGAACATCTACGACGACCCTCGACGCTTCGATCCCGCACGATTCATCAACGACGCTCAGTCGTCCTTCGAGGCCTCCCAGAACCCCGACGTGACCAAACGTGACCATTTCACCTTTGGCGCGGGACGGCGCATCTGCGCGGGCATTCATCTCGCCGACGTCACCACTTTCCTTGCCGTTTCGCGACTCCTGTGGGGGTTTGACATCACTCCTGCGCCTGGGCAGACGTCCCTGCCGGACCCGTTGCTGAGGACCGCAGGCCTGGTGTCGATGCCGCTGCCGTTCCCCGCGAGGTTTGAACCGAGATCGCCTGCCAAGGCAGACAAGATCAAGCAGATGTGGAACGAGGCAAGACAGCTCCTGGATAGCGAGATGCAATGGCGGGAGATTCCCGAGACGTTGAAGTTTCACCTGTGAGAGGAGACGGCCCGTTGGCTGGAGAAGTAGTCGTCGCAGGGTGACTGTGTGATGAAAAATGGAGGCGACATGTTTGAATCTGCACTTACACAGAATGTGCGCAAAATTTCTGGCTGGCCAGGCTGGAGGTAGAGAGCAACAGAAGACGGGAAAGAGGGAAAAAAACACGGCGTCCATATTCTGCGACAGTGACCGGTGAATATCTGCTGGTGCTGGCCTCGAATCACACAGGTCATGTCGCGGGATAGAGAAAGACACCGACTGACAGGAGGGATGAATGATGAGTTTTCGGCATAAAATGCAACATCGAACCCGGCTAAAGATCAGCTACACAGGTGCCTGCCTAGCTGGGGGATGTGTGGTAAATCCCTGTAGACTCGAGAGTGAAGAGGTTTTGCACTGGTGAGTAGTTGGCGGAACTGTTGAGATCAAAGTCAGGGCGCAGACTGCGTTGTTCACTTGCTTTTGCATTCCACCAACCATCTGAGTTTATTCAGTCCCTCATTGCATGGCCGAACCACCCCCACACTTACATCTCAAACGAACATTATTCACTCTCCCGAGAGTCCCAGACTCCCTCTACGGCCTTCCCCACGTCTTCCACATGCCCGAAAATGGTACCTAGGGGCACAACAACCTTCCGCTACGCTTCAGTGGCCACCTGGAACGGCACTTCCTGCAAACTTGCAGGCTCAATGTAGTCCTTATGGCCATTCACCCTCAGTCGCAGCTTGCGAGACTCAGCGTACACGACCCTTCTCACGCGGTTGGTGCTGCCTAGGGGTTGATGGGCCTTGAGTCCATGCCAACTATTGACAGTGATCCGGTCATCCCACCAAACTCGAAACTCGGGAAGCCAGCTATCCTGTGGCTCGAACTCGAGAGTGGCGACTTGCTCGAATGGGTACTTTTGCTCGTCCCACTCCACACCGATGTCCTCGACGGGCTGTTCGGCGAGGTTCTGAAGAAGCTGTGCGCAGAAAGAGTACGACACCTTATTGTTCTTGTGGAATTTGCGAAGTTCGGACGAGATGATATTCTTGGGGTCACTGTCCTTGATGTAGGTATGCTCCAGCTTCTTTTGCTCTTCGCCCAGGGGAAACAAGCCGAACTTGGCCACATAGTCACCAAACCGATATGCCGATTGTGAATATTGCGGCATAGCCACCACTGTAGACTATGATCAGATTCGTCGGCCTATCCTATGTATGTAACTTACTGTGCTGCTGAGGAATCTTGGCTGGTAGGCATGCAACGTCGGCGTCTGGACGCTTCTTCAGCTCATTCTCAAACTCTGGTAGGTTGTCCCAGTTTCTTTCCAAAGAGTCCGCAATCTCATACGTGGTTTGAGCATCGCGAAGTTCGAGAACGGGATAGTTGTTGAAAGTCCAGTCCTGGGTTTTCTTGTCTTCTCCCCAGATCTTCTCGCCCTCAATGCCAAAAATCTTCATGCCAGCTCCACGTGGTGCGGGGACGTTGTCAGGGACAAGCTTGGGCGTGAGTGAAGAATACCGCATGATGACGTCGTATGTGCCAGGCTTTGCAAACATTCCCTGAGCCAGATGCGGAGGAAGGTTGTCGTGGACGATGAACTTGCCCGCAACACACTGTCGATGTCTATCAGCAGGGTCGCAACTGTCAGGTAATGCCAACATACACCCTGAGTCTTCAGATGAGTGCCTCGCAGGGCGTGATGATGTTCGTCAAAGTTCAACATCTGGAATCGGCAGAACTGCTCTGCTACCTGTTTGATCCTTTCCTGCTCACCCGGTTGCTCCTCTTCCACGCCTGGAGCGTCCCAATGAATGTAGTCAGGCATGTTCGGCGGTGTCAGTGACAATGCGAAGTCCAGAAAGACGAAATTTCCAGAAACGGTGAAGGACCATCATTTATTTGACGGTATCGCGGTCCCCGGACACAGTGCCGGCCCTCTTGCGCATTGTGCCGCATCCTTGCCCACTGGTGTTTCTCCTCGGGTGGCGTTGATCAGTATTCCATAGAGCCGACGTGCAATCTGCTTCTCAATGCAGCTACACTTGATCTCTCATGGCTGACATGACGCATCTTTGCGGGGAAGACTGTTGGTCTCGCCTCTCTAGTCAGCAACAAGACAGCTCCTGTCCAATTACATGCACTTTATTGCTCAGTTGTAAGACGTGTGGACGGTTTACCATGACAAATACTCGTACCGCTATCAGTCAAGGGTTCGATCAAGTGCCCAAGTTCTCCGCGGTGTCTAGAACTTGGACCCTTTGAGGTTCAAACCATCGCAGCCGAGCCAAGTGTGATTCGCGAGAACGGAAGGAGAAATATCATGATCCCAAGCACCCGTCCGGGGACGGTACATGATATTGCTAGAATTCACCTTTGATTGATAGTGAAGGCTTTGTTCCTATTGCATTGGGTGCCCGAGGAGATCTTGTTGCTTCTTAACTGAGTCTCAAAACGATTGCGTAATCATGGGGGAATCTTACGCCAGCCTCGTGAAGCCACCTGTGGCCTGAAAGAGTTAGATGAATCATTTCGGCAAAGCAGCACGAGGCCACCCACACCAGGGGAAGCACTGGGAGCCCTTTGAGCACCCCTAGCGCCTCTACCAGGCTCGAAGGCCACATTAGCTAAGGCCACCAGGCTGGCGGCCCCCACAGGGCGGCATCTCCCACTGCTCAAAACAGGACTTGTGCATCACAACGGTCGCTTGCGTGATTGCGTCTCGCCCCTGCGACGGCTGGGCGTGCAATGGCCCTCCAGTTTGGAATTTTCCGACGTTTTTGGCTCCAGATCTTGGCTACCGTTGGGCTGGGCTGCTTTATTGTCTTCTTGTATCACGATTTTATCCGCAATGTTGGCATTTCACGCGATCCCTTGGCTGCGCCCCTTGACGTGCCCACCGCCTCTCCACTGCAGCCACCAGCCAATGCAGTGCGACAATCGTGCGTGGGACCGCGTGGAAAGCCAGTACAAGAGAATCTCGACGACAGAGTTTGGGCAAGTTTGCTAGACTTGCGTACGTAGCTCTGCCATGGTCGACCACTTTCTGGTGTGATGCTGACAGGATCATAGCTTTCCCCGATCCAGTGGGCGGCTCCTTTGCAGCATTGGACCTACCGATTACCTTCAACACCCCCGAATCCAGATACGGTGCATATGGTTATGGCGAAGAGTCGGAGACCTACGAGCGAACTCGTGTGGAGTGGAGCTCGGTAAAATGGGCAGATCTGCAAAATGATTGTCTTGCTTCAAATCTGGATCGATTCCGCAATGCCCAAAATATTTCCGTGACGAGACGGTTTCGCTTGCCCGCAAAGAAAAAACCTGGCGTTGGGAAGTTGAAGGCAAGAACACATTCTACAGGCCGAACGGCAGTCGTGCTTCGTAGTTGGGAGGGCTACAACTACACCTCACTTGACCTGTACCATCTGCGGTCTCTGATTGTCGAGGCTGGGCTGGATTGGAATGCAGACAACGCTGTTTTTCTCTTGGTGGACGTCAAGGATGACAATGGAACGAGACCGATCTTTCGTGATCCGCAACTTTATGAGACGGCTTTACGGGATTTGGTGCCTGCCGAATTTCAAGACATTGCCGTCCTCTTCAACCTCGAGTTGCTCAAATCATGGTATCCTCGAATCCCTGAACATTCGGCTTTCTTCCAGGTTTACCAGCCTCTGCAATTGTTTGCACAACTCTTTCCTGGCTTCGACCACTATTGGCAGCTTGAAATGGACATGAAATTCACAGGCAACTCCGGGCAGTGGTTGGACGCAATGGCAAGGTTTGCAAGGAACGAACCGCGTAAACAGTCTATCGAACGGTCTTCATATTATTACATGCCGCAGGTCCATGGGTCTTATGCAGAGTTCAAAGCAACCATCAACGAGAGCTTGGGAGGTGGTGGTATCTGGGGACCTATCCGTGTTCCTGATATTGAACATCCCATTGGACCCCAGCCGCCCGTTGCCGATCCTCGTGAGGATAACTTCAACTGGGGTGTCGGGGAAGATGCCGACCTAATTTTGACGAACGCTTTGGCGGATGTGAGAACGACAAAGTACTGGCCGTTCAAGGGCTGGATTCACGGGTTCCAGAAAGGAGAAGACACCCCACGATTCTACAGTCCAGTGGCCATGGGAAGATACTCGTGGAATCTGCTCAATACCATGCATCACGCTCAGGTCCACCAGGGTTTGTCTCTGTCTTCGGAAGCCACTGCCGTGTCCTTTGCACTGTACCACGGCCTGAAAGTCATCTTCCCACCCCATCCGTGGTACCACCATCCCCAGGCGCGCCGCGAAGTGAGTGTCCAGGAATTGGAACAACTGTTCAACGGCGGTTCGCCTTCCGATAATGCTCGGGAGAACAACGGTCTTTCATTCGGCAAGGCAATGTACGATCCCAACGGCGCATACGAGCTTTTCAATGGCGGGACGTGGTGGTGGGTGCCTGGCTACCCGGGAAGGACATTCAAGCAATGGATGAATCATGATACAACGGATATAGCCTCGATGCTACGGGAAGATGGGGGCCAAATCTGGGCACCTATGATGGCTCTACATCCTGTGAAATCGGGAGCTAACGCATAGTGATGAGAATGACTGACGAGGAGATTGTGTATATATGTCGAAGTATATGTCAAAATTAGCCGGGGTTAGCTTGCTATAGAAATTTGTGGTTTTCATTCTGCCTATTGTCGAGCGAAACTCGAATCTATACCATGATAATGGGTCCGACATTTCAGGAGGTCAATGGCAAAGCTGAGGCTGTGGTCACAAAGTCCTCCATTCCAAGAGAGGAGATAGAGGGGCCAGCTACAACAGAAGCCGATCATCCGATGGCCCTAGCGACGGAGCCTCCAGCCGACGACGAGTGCATGAAGTAGCGCCGGATGGACACGACCGGGCCGGATACACGCGAGTTTTGAAATTTCGCCTAAGGAGAGGATGCCACATGTCGAGCAGCTGCAGATGAGTCCTTGATACAGGTCTCCTGTTGGCTCAATAACCCTCCAATATCCGTCGAAGCTACGGAGCCATGGCGGGAACAACGGACAATTGATGCATGTCCTTTGTAAGATGATATCGGGGCCTAGCGACCACCATGACTGCAACTCGCCAATTGGACATGGGTCTGTACTTTGCGCAAGCAAGGCGAAGACCATCCCCTAGTCATCAACACCAATAAAGAGAACGAATCTCCCGCCCACAGGGCAATTCAGCCAATTCCTATCCTTGGACCTGCGCCCGATCCCAGAGCCGGGGGAAAAGGCTTTCAATTGGACTTAATGAGCCGCGATTCCTCCAGTGACGCTGAGCTCGCATGCGCCCGGCCGGAATATCGACGTGTCACTCCTCAGTTCGTCAAAGTCATCCAAGGGTCTTTGCGTGATGAGGGGCACTGGACAGGACGGAATTCGCCTCTGTCAATGCCTCAATGCTAATTCATAGCTTATAGTGAGTAGGAGCCCCCCTACGAACGTCGGTCTCCTCTTGTCTGAAGACCGTTTGACTAAAGTTAGGCATTACTGAGAGCATACTCAACCCTCTACCTGGGATATCGAGAGGGTATTCATCTAACAATGGCAAACAAAGTCGACGACTCTTCCGAGAACAACGACCTATTGGCACCTCTGATACCGCTCCAATCGAAGGACCATGAAGCGATCCTCAATGTCATCGACCAATTGAGGTCGGAAGGCATAGGTGAGTATGTCGGCCTTCCGCAGTTGATCGTGTGTGGCGATCAGTCGTCGGGCAAAAGCTCTGTGTTGGAGGCCATCTCGGGCCTGTCATTTCCGGCCAAGGACAATGTCTGCACTCGTTTCGCTACCGAGCTCATTCTAAGACGCTCGCCGAACGTGGGTATAACAGCCTCAATCCATGCTGATGAGAAACGAACCCCAGCCGAGAAAACTCGCATCGAAGGTTTCAAGTCGTCCACTGTTGAGCTTGGACAATTTGGGAGCATTGTCCGGCAAGCAGAAAAGCATATTGGCATTGGTCAGGATGGCCACCTGTTTTCCAAGGACGTCCTTCGCGTGGAGGTTTTAGGGCCAGGACTACCTCACTTGACCTTGGTTGATCTCCCGGGCCTGTATCATGCACCCGACGAATCCCAAACTGCAGCAGGAGTCGACTTCGTAGAGTCGTTGGTATTGTCCTACCTACGGAACAAACGCAGTGTCATCTTGGCTGTCATCTCTGCGAAAAGTGATATAGCACTACAGAAGATCACCGCTTTCACACGCCGATTCGATCGAAGGGGCAACCGCACCATGGGTATAATCACCAAGCCAGACACTTTGGACACAGGCTCTGATATGGAGAGGTCCTTCTATGATCTGGCAATGAATACGCGGCTCAGATTCCGACTCGGATGGCACGTCCTGAAGAATAGGTTGCCGAAAGAGCAGCACTTTTCCCTCCAACAACGTGATGAGTCTGAAGCAAAATTCCTGAGCGCAGGAATATGGGCCCAGATGCCTCGTGATCTGGTTGGAATTGATACTTTGAGACCAAGGTTGAGCACGGTCCTGAAGGACCATATCATATCGCAACTACCGGGGCTCATTGACGAAGTTCAACAATCCTGTAAAAATGCAGAGTCCCGGTTACAGAGACTTGGAAAGGCACGACAAACATTGAGTGAGCAACGCCTATACCTCATAGACAGCAGCGACCGTTTCACAACCCTCATTGGCAACGCCGTGGACGGAAACTATTCCAGTCGATTCTTCGGAGATCCCATGAAGGAGGAAAATTATGAGAGGAGACTGCGCGCTAGGGTCCAGAACCGGCTTTCCGAATTTGCCCAAGATATGGAGGAAATGGGGATGCAAAGAAACATCATTGACGATGAGGAACCCATCGATACTGAAGAAAACCAGATTCACCGCTCTGACCTTGTCACAGAAGTTCAGGAACTCATGCGTCGAAGTCGCGGAAGAGAATTGCCTGGCACTTACAACCCTCTTATCATAGGTGACTTGTTTTACATGCAGAGTAAGCCATGGGAATCGATCGTTACTCGGTGCATTGATGGCCTTCTTGGGGACGTCCACAAGGCGACAATGCCGATGCTGCGGGAGACACTGGATGAGACGAGCATGAAGCGACTTCTGGAATACGTGATTGAACCTGGACTTGAAAAAATCGAAGAGGCGTTACGCGGCAAGACGGCCGAGCTCCTCAATCCTCAGCAGATGGGACATCCAATAACCTACAACCATTATTTCACAGAGAGCGTTCAGCAGGCGCGCGAGGAGCATCTGCGCAGAGATTTGGAGAAAAGAGTAACGAAATTCTTTGGAAAAGAGTATCCATCGTCTGGAATGGTCTCGTGGCCACAGAACTACAAATTCAGAATGGATAGTTTGATTGACGCGCTTGCAACTCAGACAGAAGCAAACATGGAGCGCTTTGCTGCCTCGGAAGCAATCGATTGCATGCTAGCTTACTACAAGGCGAGTGATTTCATGTTCTGGCCTGTTTCTTTTCTTTTCGATACAGCCGCTGACAAGCGTGGTAAAGGTTGCCCGAAAGAAATTCGTGGATGATTTCAGCGTGCTGGCTGTCGAAAAATGTCTGTTGGAGAGGCTGACTCTCATTTTCTGCCCGCGAACCGTATCGCTACTGGCTGATCAGACAGTCAAGACGATTGCAGAGGAAGACGCAGGGTCGAGGGTCGAGCGCGAGCGACTGGAGCAGAGGTTGGCAATCCTTAGCAGCGGTCTAAGTCAACTTCAGCGCCTCGATCGACACAATACATCAGGTGAGGTCATACATATGCATAAACATGACATGATGCAGAATACTGAATACCACAGTACAAACCCCGTCAGATGAGGACAGCCACGAGGATAGCCGAAGCGAGATGGAGGAGTTCGCGGATGACGAGAACGAGCTCGTCGACGTAGTTGAAAGTCGCGGCACAACAAGTCCTGCCAGTTAAGGTCTACCGTCGAACCCTTCGAGAACAGTGCTGGCATATCTCCCACACTCCAAGGGAACCGGCCCACTGTTCTGGTTTCGCCGGAGGAAGGTTATCTCGATTAACGCCGCCACGCAACGTGAAGAAACTTCCGAGGTCGATGGTCTGGGGGCAGTGAACATCAGGTTCAAGCATCATGCGATGCAGCAAACATTTCATCGTACGACTGAAGATGCTACAGATTGAACCCCTGCTTACCAATGCAATTCTTCTTACCGGATCCAGACACAGGCTGGAGACGTGCTGGTGCTCAATTGGGTCGGTCGCATGGTCATGGACGCCAACCATTGCATGCCATATTTGACCAACTTGTATTCATGTGAGCCTTTTATGGTGGTTGGTCAATGTCCTTGGTGGCTGTATGGCCATACAGACCCGACTTTAAGCGAGTAGTACTACATATCTTCGAGGTCCGGGGTAATTGGAATGTCGACAGCGCATGACTGCTCTACAAGTACAAGAATGTCGCGTGCCAAACTGATGGGGGTGGGGGCTGACTTCCCCGTATTCGTCTATTTCTAGACTAGCGTGCCAAGCGTGCCAAGCGAATCTCGATCACCGTCATTTTGAGGCTAGTGGCCTTGGCACAACTCTTCGTGAGGCTGACGGCAACTCGTTTCTCTATCAGAAGAGGATGTCATAACACACAACGCAGGCAGAATTCTTTTATCCAAACCAACAAGGAGTGTTAAGTGTCCAAACGAAGATGACGCCCACCAGCAGTTCACCGAGCAGCCTAGAAATGAAAGGGTGTCAGAGTAGGAGGCATTTTCACTTCGTCCAATCCATCATTTTTCCTCCCAATCACGCAATCGCTCACTGGGTCCCCTGGTCCCCTTTTCCTGCGATGGTGTCTTTTACGGTTGCTAACAGTGGCTCTCAGTGGGTCGCTGGACTGGGAAAGAGCCGATCCTATCCGCTGGGAACATTCTCAGCCTCGAAGGTTCATGTTTTTCTTACTCAATAAACGCAACCTTGAATGGTATTTCCCTCTTCCACGCGAGACGAATTTCTACCAAGAATGGCGCGATCGTAATTCGTGCCCACCGGAACCGCCTCCCATACCCGCACTATGGCTCATTACGGACTGATGGGGGAGTCATTGGCTGCTCGCTGAGATGACAAGTAACACCACCCAACCTCAAGGCTACCTACCACCGAAATTTTCTTGTCGATGCGACGTCAAAGATGGCGAAGTTGGCGAGACCCGTCGTGATCGGCCTATCCAGGTCTCACAAGGATGTGGTATCAAAGGCGACGTCCGATGCGATGCGCTTGATAAATATGTGCAGTCGACCGACAGTGGTTTCGCACATGTCTGGCTTCCACAACTCTACAACTTAGAAATCTTCAGAACTACTAGTATCATCGGGCACTCAACTCTCAGTCATGCTGAGCAGCGTTCGCTCTTACTTGCCCAAGCGCCCCCTTGCGGCACACACTCCTCAACCTACAGACAAGACATCTTTGGATGTTGACTCAGAGGGCAGAAATGGTGGCAAGCAACGCGCCAAAGGACATGAATGTACCGCCCGATGCTAACAGGCTTCCAGATTCCTCCGAACTCGTCCATGTCCTCACGGAGACGAAACGTCAGATTGGTGTCGTCAGTGCCTTCTTCCTTATCTTCAACCGTATGGTTGGAACCGGCATCTTCGCAACCCCAAGCACCATCTTCTCCCTGTCCGGCAGCGTTGGTCTGAGCCTCTTCATCTGGGTTGCTGGAATGATCATCGCCATGTGCGGTATGGCCGTATATCTGGAATTTGGCACAGCTATCCCCAAGAACGGGGGTGAGAAAAATTACTTGGAATTTGTCTACCGACATCCCAAATACCTCGCCACGGGATTCTACACTGGATATGTCGTCCTTCTCGGTTGGGCCGGATCGAACTCTGTCATCTTCGGAGAGTACATTCTCCACGCCGCCGAGGTCGAAGTGAACCGGTGGAATCAGCGAGGAGTCGGGCTCGCCTGCATCACTGCCGCTTTCCTCATTCATGGATGTGCTCTCAAATGGGGACTGAGGTTGCAGAACTTCCTCGGCATCATTAAGCTGATCATTGTGCTCCTAATTGTCGTGTCCGGTTGGGTATGTCCAAGTCCTTGAGTGGCTGCTATTCACATTGAGGTTGACATGTTTTCCAGGCTGCTCTTGGTGGTGCCCTGAAGGTGCCGAAACCACACAACTTTGATAACGCATTTGAAGGAACCACTGGCAGCGCGTGAGTGCTACACCCATCGTCTCAACTTTGCCATTTGCTGATTTGTTATGTTAGGTATGGCGTCGTCACTGCTCTGTATAATGTGATATGGAGTTATATCGGGTACAGTAACGCAAATTACGCCTTGAGTGAAACCAAGAATCCAATCCGCACCCTCAAGATTGCAGCACCAGCGGCGATTATCTTCGTGTCGATCATCTACATGCTTGTCAACGTACGGTGAACCCCTGACAAGTGTCCGCGACAGGAGCTTTGCTAACGCTGGGCACCATTGAACAGATTGCCTACTTTGCTGCTGTACCCAAAGAAGAGATTGTGTCTTCCGGCCGCATCCTTGCAGCATCCTTCTTTCGTAATGTCTTTGGCCACCGGGCTGAACGGGCACTTTCGGTGTTTGTTGCACTCTCCGCCTTTGGAAATGTGCTCAGCGTCATCTTTTCTCAGGGTCGTCGTACGTACTACCTCCTCGTTCGTCTGGCAAAACAAATACTAACAGCAATGACAACTAGTGGTCCAAGAACTTGGACGTGAGGGAATCCTTCCATTATCCCGCTTCTGGGCAAGCAACAAGCCATTCAATGCGCCTCTCGCTGGCCTATTCGAGCACTGGTGTGTCTCGGTGATAATCATGCTCGCGCCTCCCCCTGGAGACGCATACAATTTCATCCTCAAGTAAGTTTCTCTGGCTGTCCTACTCTGCCTACGCAAAAACTGATTATACCTTGCAGCGTCATCTCGTACCCTCTTTCCGTCGTCAACGCCTTTGTCGCCGCCGGGCTTCTCTATCTCTACGTCAACCCACACCGCTGGGAATGGTCGCCCCCCTTCCGCGCAACGTGGCCGGTAGCGCTGCTCTTCTTCCTCAGCAACCTGTACCTCATCGCCGCTCCGTTCGTGCCTCCCAGCAACGGACAGAACGTGTACGATGACCTCCCATACTACCTGCACTGTGTGGTAGGCATCGGGATCATTGCCGCCGGAGGAGTCTACTGGCTCATCTGGGCCATTCTGTTGCCGCGCCTCGGCAAATACGAGCTGGTGAGACAGGTCGAAATCAGTCCGTTGGACGGATGGGAGCGGAATGTGTTTTCGAGACGCAAGCTTGGCCGAGGAGAAAAGCCTGGACCGAGTGCGAACGTGGCTGAATTTTGATCCATACGTCGTTTGACTTGTGTGTGCACATAGCATTAGATGTTTGACTACTGGTTAAATATTCCTGCCGGGTACTGATAATTTTATACCGTGTTTCGTCTTTTCTTTTCAGACATGCCAGAACTGTTATAGTACTTACTAAGGTATTGCCAACATTTCAAATCTACTGGTATCCTCTTACATCCCCATCTCATGTTCAAGAGCGCACACGAAGAAGAGAAGCCGAGCTTTCAGCGATCCCCCAGACTCAATTCTAGCCATCTTCAGGACAGCAGACAACCCATCATCTTGCACGATGCTCCTATCCCCGGCCCTGAAAGAGACACAGACCCTAGGAATTGCGCTTTACGCCTCGCGATATTCCCCCGCCTCTCTACCCTGCAGAGGAAAAACTAATTGTAACCAGTGATGATTGGCCCAACGATACTGGTAAGGGCTGCATGGGCAGAATAGTACAGATATGACTGGCTCTTCAGCAGCATTGGTCTCATGAGCGAGCTGTACTGTATAGTCTTCGTCTTCCCCGCCTCCACCTTCGCCTCCACCTCCACGTTCTGCGGCCCGACTTCCACCAACTCAACATCACGTTCTTCAGAAGCCTTGGACTTTTGCTCAGTAGAAGCCATTGCCAAACTCTGATACTCAACTCATCCAAAATCATCACACATGAACGCGATCATATGCTTATGCCGAGCTCTCTTGTCCTCCGTCCTACAGAACTGGAACTCTACCAGGTCGTCACCCCCGACTTTTTGGGACGGCTGGCCTAGCTAACAAACGTGAGACGGTCCTCGGGGAGAATAATCTGAGGCTGAAAGGCCTGGTCGTTTCCCGCGAATCGTAAGCGAGAACTAGTGTGAACTTGCTAAAGACTACAAAGTTCCAGAATGGAGCCAGACTGGGAGAGTTTTCTTTGCAGAGCCTTCACCAAAGACAGGCCATCTGGGCGGGGACTCATATCTTGCTCATTAGAGACTAATCCTTGCTAGAATCGACTGAAATTGGTGAAATTCTTTGACAGATTCGTCCTGAACCCCTCAGTGCTGCCCATTTATGGCACTGGTCTCTGGCAGAGGTTCATCAGCACGACTCGTTTCCTCAGAACGACATGGTTGAAGAGTGGGAGGTCTCCTCGCAGGATCAGACCTTTTCCAGGCACTTCCGGGTTTATGAAGTCCAGAAGTCTTTAGACAAAGGGGGTTAACCAGCTGTTCTTTGATTGCTTTTTCCCACACTCCACTGCCTTCCAGTATATGCATCACAACTACATGTATGGCGCCAACTCTGACAACGGCGGCCACAGCCACGATGGTATTCTTTCACCTCTCGCTCTCGTTCTATCTATGGATTGACGTGTTGGCTAACAGCCTACGCTGGCTCAGGTTCCATTAAAAGGCCACGACGATGACTTTGCGCCCGAAATCCCAAGCAGCGCCGGGAAAGGGTCTGTGACAGCGAAATACGCTAGAGCCACCTCCCGAATCTATATCACATGTGCTGTCCTGGCCGTATCTTCTTTCTTTTTTGATGCCAGCCCCCGGCTACAACATGCTGGCCTAGCACTGCTATTTCCTGGTGGCTCGTTTATTGGAGCTGGGGGTGCATGGCTTTTGGGGTTCCCTTTGACATTGTGAGTTCCCCCAAAGAGTGACAATACGGAAAGGGAGAAACCCAACTGATGTTCAGTCGTCAAGGGTCCTCTTTGCAGTCAGTCTCTTTCTTTGGTTTGCCACTGGCAACATTGTGGCACCTTTCTTGACTTGGCCCGGCCTTGCGCTTTTCATGCCTTGTTTTCCATTTGCGGCAAAGACCACAACGTACAGTATTTATGTTGTTCCTCTGCTTGCAGCAACCGCATGCGGATATATCGTCTATTACGTGCACAAAGATGCATCAGCCGCTCTGGAGAAACGAGACATGCGGAATCGCTATCTCCCAACAGTAGTCGACCAGATTGCTCGGGACGCCACGAGTTCCGTGCCAACAGAAGGACTAGAGCTTCAACCGGAAGAGTTGGGCCAGCTACGATTCCTCATCAACGTTGCCAACCAGGGGATGGATGATTGGTAAGGGTACCTGAAGATGTTGATTCGATGCTTGCTCGAAGTCTAAGTGCCCATTATCGACCTAGGAACAACTTCACAGATATTGACCAATTCCAAACTTCGGCTCTCCGCTACCAGCTGAACGAGCTGAGTTACTCGCTGTCATTCGCAAACAAACTCTACACGCCCTCATTCCGCGGAGGCTACCTTCAAGAAGCGCAGAATAAAGTGATACTCAAGTCCTGCCAGAAGAAGGTCCTCAATTATTGGAAATGGGAAGTTCTGTGGGGGAAGCTTGTAAGATCTCTTGTTTCCCTTGTGCCGAACGGGTCTGACTGACATGTCGCAGTCAACCAATTTCCACCCATATCGCGTGGACAATATCATGCTCACGGGGATTCTCCTGCTTGCATTGGCAATGTATGAAGGGGCCACCGGCGATGACTGTTTCTCCAAAGACGGCGCCCTGGAACTTGTCATCGACGATACTCACAAATACAAAGTCTCATCTGGTATATTGGTGGACGCCCTGATGAGTAACTTTCGAAAATCTCAATACTGCCTTTATGCTTGTGAAGCAAGTATTTGTTCATTTTCACTGGAACTTGCGGGATACGTGTTGATCTAACTTTGCTCCCCAGCCAAACTGGATCTATACTTTCTGCAACCTCCAAGGCATGAATGCGTTGGTTGCGAACGACGCCAACAAGGGGACGTCGTTTGCCGAGGAGATCAAACAGCAGTTTCGCGAAGCTTTCATCGATGATTTCATGGTAAGTGGCCTCTGTTCTTATTACTATTGTTGGTCGCTAAGTCGGTCTTCCCCAGGCAGCCGATGGCAGCGTCCATCCCATACGATCACATTTGACAGGTAAGAAAGAAAGCCTTGTGCCTTTGAACTGTGACGTGCTCACTCTCAGTGCTAGGATTTCGTATTCCCGGCTTAGTAGGAGCCATGAACGACTTTTCAGTCTGCTGCTTGTCTGGCGCGGTTCTTCCCGACATTGCTCTGCGCGCATATGCCATTTGCCGCAAGGAGTATATGGAAGTGGACGAAAAAGGGAACATGAAGTTCAAAGGGCTCCAAGGCGCCGACTTTATCGATCCCGGTAACTACAAGGGGTCCAAGGCCGCATTGTACGGGACAAGTCTGCTCGCTGCCCGAGAGCTCGGGGACAAAGTTGCCGCGGATGCGATTTTGAAACTGATCGACGCGAATGCAGATTTTCAACGGACCGAGAAAGACGGTGTCGTTTGGTACGACAACGTCTCTTTGCTGATGAAGGGACAGATATTCCGTGGGCGCATCAACACAATAAAAGGCTATGTGAGAGCCATCACCCAGCCGATGAGTGACGCTGTCAAGAACGGGCCATATCTCAGCGACGTCAAATACCCCGAAGTAAAATCTCGGCTTTCAAACCAACTTCAAACATGTCGGTATCGAGCTAACAATTCTTTCCAGGTTCTGGTTGCAAAGGCAATCTCCCGTACCGGAACGGACCTCGACCTCGTTCTATACCCAGGAGCCGAGAAAAGGGATGTGTCGTTACCAATCAAGCAGCTGAAACCGAACACCACTTACACATTTGATCACGGCAGGGAGTTTGTCTCCGACTTCCAGGGCGAGGCCACACTTTCCGTGACTCTCAATGGCAGGACGGTTGTCAAATTCGCCCAGTCGTAAAAAGGTCCATTCACGACTGTGAAATTGGCTTGTTGAAAAATGAAAAGAAAAAGAAACAGGATGACGTGTCAATTAAACACGAGACATGAACGGTATTGGATATCGTTGCCAGCTTGAACAACTGTTTCAATGGCAGCAGCAAACTGGTGAAATGCATCTGACTGTCCCACGTGTCTCCGGAGCAAGTCCATGTTAGAATGCCCCGACGTTGATCCAAATTTGTTTCGGTCCCGTTATGAGGTTAGCAACGTCCCATACTATACTTTTGTGGTCGTTGGAACATTGCTTGAAATCGGGAATTCCACCTATTCGTGGCTATCCTACGGGTTTGGTTCCGGAATTGCCTGACCTATTGTACTTGAGAGTGATCTCTACGAGTCGTGCAATTCTATCAGTGCTATGCTGGCCCTTGTGTCGACTCTTGGCTCTAGAATGATCCATTCTCCTCTTCCGGATCCCCATGGGGCTGGCAGGCCAAAGCCGGGGAAGCACAGGTGACTTTCATTCAGTGAGGACCATTTATTAAATTCTTCTGCTCTTAAGGTCGTCAACCGAGAGCATTGTTTGCCCTCCAAGCTAGCTCATCATGCAAAGGGCTTCCACAGATGCCTATGCCTTAGAGTCGGTCTTCGCCTGGTAGGTGTCGTCCGACACTTCTTCCATAAACCTCACACTGCCGAGAGATACAGCTTGGTGGACCATGTAGCTTTGATCGTCGGCTCCATGCCAGTGTTCGGTACTGGGAGGACACCAGATGACGTCTCCGACGTTGATTCGCACCGGCTTGGCTCCCCGATCGCAGAGCCAGCCACACCCTGCCGTGACGCGCAACACCTGGCCTTTCTCATGCCAGTGCCAGAACGAACGTGTACCTGGTGCAAAGTTGACATTGTGCACCAGAATACCCTCGGCGGCAAGGACTGTGTCAACCCACACGGCCCCCCCAGTGAACTTTTTCGACACCTCTGTGGCATTGAAAGATGCTGAGCCATCTCTCGAGGACCGACTGATTACCATGTTGGGTTTTCTCCCGGAACTTTTCGTATCAGACATTTTCAGTTCAGTCAGACTTGAGTGGTGAAGATGTTTTGGTGAGCTTGAACGGAGTTCTTTTACGCCCAATGTGTGAATGGGCTGGATGAAGGAGTATAAGTATCGGTAAGCCTGGGCGCAAGTTGAAAAGAATGACCGCAACACGAGTTTCATTCATTATTACCGATGCAGTTTCAAGGGAACTTAGTTCTTCAATTCAGCGCAAGAAGTACGGATGGTCCATATGTCGTTGCCAACGACCTGGCACGTGTCTCTTACGACATGCCCTTGTGCGACCGCAGGAGCGGGGTGTGAGGAGGAAGGTCAAGAGCTAGTTGGCTTGGACTCTCTCGTGCCAAACTTATATTATCCACTTGATTATACTATCCGTTAGTTACCGTACTCCTTATACCTTATGTCTGACGAAGCTTGACTTGTTAACTATTATATATAGTGCTCTCCAATAAGAGGTTCAAGCTGTGGAGTTCAGTTCCTCCTGCGGGGACTAGCGTTGCGCTAATGGTGTATAGTACATAAAGTTTGCTAGTCGCCGTGACAGTTGTACATGATCCCAATGTCCTCGGTCAATACTCACATGGCGTCGGGGTCGATCTGTGAGGTCTAAAGCCGGAACAGTGGAAGCAGATGAAATGGTGGTTCCGGGGGATCTGAAGCCAGCCTCCTCGAAAGCGGAACTATAGAATCGTGCTTGTTCGGTATCTGGGTCTCGATATTCCGCCAAGTGGCAAGAACAATTCCATCTCCGGATTACCTTTGCTTTTCTCATACCCCAGGATTTCTGGACAGCTTTAGTTAGGTAGCGTGGCACCCAAGAGATGAGACGAGCTCGGAATATTTAGTAGAGGCTCTCTGCCACGAAAGTGCGGCAGGTTGTATTGCTCCAGCGATATTAACATCTATCGGCACTCGGAGTTGATACATCTTCCCTCTCGCTACAGTGCTTTCGTTTTCCACTTTTGTCTTCGAAACACATCAAAAGGACGTCTATGACACCATGTCCCCTGACCACGAGAAGCACCAAGGTGTTACTGCCGCCAACACTGCCTTGGAGCACCACCACCCCACTCTTTTTGGTGACGATGAGATACAAATGCACGAGCACGAAGTCACCAGACTCGACCAGGTAGTGACCCGCGTCCCAATGAGGACTTGGCTGGCAGTTGTTTCCATGGGTTGGCTCTACATTGTTTCTCTTGCTACCTTCCTCTGCCTGGTCCCAGTCATCACCATCATCAATGAAGATGTTGGGCCCAGTCCCGAATACAGCTGGATGGCCAATGCGTGGACTGTCGCTGCCGGAACTGGTATCATCCTCACGGGCGCACTCTCTGATCTCGTCGGTCGAAGATGGTTCATCATCGGGTGCGGCATTGCTGCCATCATCGGGTGTATTCTCGGCATCACTGCACAGGACATGACCGCCGGTAAGATTCTGACAAGAAACCAGAGATGAGAAGAAACCTGAGAAGAAACTAAATCAATTTTTTCTGCGGCAGCTATCGTGGCTTTCATTTTCCAGGGCCTGAACCAAGCGGGCTGTCTCACCACGTTCGCTTGTATCGCCGAGCTGGTGCCAACGCGAACACGAGGCATCGTCATCGGCATCATCAGTCTCGGCTCTGCTGGCTTTGTCATGTGTGGCTCTCTCATCGGTCATGCCGTATCCTTCAACACCGGCCCAAAGTGGAGGACTATCTTCTGGATGTCTCTGGCCTGCAATATCGTCGGTACAGTGGCCGTGGCCGTGACCTATTTTCCAGCGCCGGCACTGGCGCGGCCTGCTGGTAGCAGGAGGGAAATCCTGAAATCCTTCGACTACATTGGTATACTTGGTATCATGGTAAAGGGGGTTACCCTGACTTTTCAAGACCATCGTTGCTAATACGGAGCCAGATCGGTCCGACTCTCTTCCTGATGGGAATCTGTTGGGTACCAGAGTACGGCGCGACAAGTGGACGGTTTCTGGGGCCGTTCATCACGGGCTGCATCGTCATCATTCTCCTTGGTGTCTACGAAGCCAAATGGGCACGCAACCCGCTGCTGCATCCGTATCTTTTCCGCCGCATCCGCACCTTCACTCTGATCCTCATCTGTGCCGGTGTTGGCGGCATGTTATTCTACTCTCTCCAGGTGTTCTGGCCAACCTACCTCACCCTCATCTTTGAGGGGAATAGTTGGTCAAAGGTCGGCATTGATGGTTTTACGTTCGGCATCGGCACAAATTTGGGTGGCTCGGGGGCAGCAATATTGTTACCTTTTCTTGGACCCAAAATCGGTACACGGAATATTCTGAGCTTTGGAGTCCTGCTGCAAGTCCTCTTCATTCCGATGATGTGTCTGGTTGACGAGACTCGCAAGTCCATGGCGCTGGCCTTTTCGTTCATGGCTGGAATTGGTATGTTTTTCAATGATATATTCCTGGATTCTCATTACACATCATGCGAAAAACACTCTAACTAACTCGCTTTTTGCAACAAACTTTAGGCATCGGCATCATTGAGCTGCTCACCATCCTCTTGGTACAACTGGCGACACCGGACGAATGGATCGGTTTCGCGACCGGTGCACTCGGCCTGGTACGCAGTATGGGCGGCTCCGCCGGCAGTGCCATCTACCTCACCATCTTCCAAGACCGATCTGCAGCGCTCGTTCCGGAATACGTATCTGCCGCAGCCATCGAGGCTGGTCTTCCTGAAGATTCGCTCCCGGAGCTGCTCGGTGTCCTGACCGGTGTCGTCACCGACGTCCCACTCACCTCGATACCAGGCGTGACATCCACAATTCTCGAGTCGTCGGCGCTGGCTCTGAAAAAGGCCTATCTGGCCTCCTTCAGATATGTGTGGCTTACCTCGATCCCATTCGGTGTCATTGCCTTCTTCTGTGCCGTCGCAACTAAAGATGTAAGTCTTTTCTCTCCCAACTCTGCAAATCATGATGATCATGTCCGCTCCGCAACCCTCATAACTGATGAGTGCTCAGCTGTCTCATCACTTGACCAAGAAGGTCGCACAACACATGACATATGATGAGAAGCCAAAGGCCGGCGGAGAAGCAACAGCCACTCATGCGGAGGACATCAAGGCGGCTGAGGGAGATCTGTGAAAGGGAAAAGCGAGGCGGAAGAGCGAGCCTGAGAATGTATGTCATTCAGAGAGAATTGCCATGCACGCAATATGTCTGCTCGTTGGGGGCAATGAAAATACGTGTAACGTCCTTTATTGTTAAATTGTGAAAATATATATATATGTATATATATTCCTTTGCTATGTATGGCTCAAGAAGCATGTTTCGTATACCCACACCCACTCACTCTTCATGAGACGATACCTCAACACAGTGCAAATGTTTTTTTTTTTTTCTATTCCGAGTCCCGTTTGACCAACTTGACCATAAGAGGCGGCTTATCCCAGAGCATGTACATCCTCTGGTCTGCCCACACGTTGCTGCCGTTGCCATTGCCACTGGAACAATCCTTCAAATCGTAATGCCACAACAGCTTGGCCATGACGAGTCGCATTTCCAAAAGTGCCAGATTGCGTCCGATGCAAGCACGCGGTCCGACCGAGAAGACCTGGGCGGCATCTTTCCGGTCTCTCGCAAAGGAGGCCGACGACTCCTCGTTCCCCAGCCACCTCTCCGGGATGAACTTGTCCGGGGCCCCAAAATTCAAGAAGCTGTGGCAGGCGGCGTAGATGGGGACACCGATCGTCGTGTTTTCCGGCACGAACTGGCCGTCGATCTCGACCCCTCCGCGCGGGGCTTTGCGAGTATGTGTCTGCGGGGATGGTGGGTAGACGCGAAGAGCCTCCTCGAGGCAGGCGAGCAGATACGGACACCCGTTGACCGAGGTCAAGTTGATGTCCGCCGGGCTGGCAAAGGTTGTGCGCACTTCCTTTGTCAATCTCGCCAGGGAGGCTGGATTCGTGAGCAGATAGTATGTCGCGCCTATGTACGTGGGCCACCCGTTAGACGGAAGAAGGACGGAGTCACAAGAGAATGAAGAGGGAGGGGACCAGAAGATGATGAGATAGATGGCGTTACCAGATAATAATGTCGCTGTAGTTTCGGCCCCTCCCACGATGAGCACCATGGTATTGCTCTCGAGCTGTTCAAACGACATTTTGCCGTCTTTGTATGCCTCGATCAGCTTGAAAACCAGGTCCAGAGTCTTGGTCTCATAGTGTATCCGATTTTGAATCTTGTCCTGTATGTCAACAGCAGAAGTGAGCTTGCTATTCACTAATCAAAGGTACCAAGTAAAAACCATGTTCAGAGCAACAAGATGCCGAGTGAGGGGGGAGGAGGAGAAGGGGGATGAGGAACTACTACCCTGGCTAAGCCCTTTGGTACAGTCGTCGTAGTTTGACGCCCGGCAGGGCGGAAGAAGTGGTTGAACGCCGGTCGTAAAAAGGATGGTAGACGATGAAGGCATTGGTAGAAGGCCTTTTGTTTGACCATGACAAACATGAGATCAATCCATGGATGTAGCTCGGAGCTGGACAAACAGCCGAACGTTTCACCATAGGCTATATCAATGGTAGAAAAACGCTCGACGATTAGTATAATGGGATTACAAGGCCATCATCCTTTCTGGAAAAGTACTCACTCAGATAGCCTATAACGTCAAAGGTGAAGAACTGGAGCGATACAATTCCTATCAGCATGATACGGAGGAGCCTTCCTTGAACTCGAGGCAGTTTGGAGAACTTACGTTATACCATTCCACTATATCAACAGCTCGTGCTCCGCTCTGTCCTTCTTCACCAATTCTCCGGACCATGATATCGGCATACTCGAGCAGGACTGATTCTTGCTCCCTCAATGCCTTGTCCGAGAAACTGTGCGCGAGCAGCCTGCGGAGGACACCGTGATATTCCTGATCAGCATTGAGGATGGTCTGAATCTTGAGATCCGCGTGATGCCCGGGATCCTTTGGACATTCTGGCTGACCCGCCGTCTTGTGACCGTAGATTTGCTTCCATGCAATTGGGCTCACGTAGGATAACTCGTCCGGTGCAAGGCGAACGACACCGCCATATTTGTTATGGGCCTCCAAGATGTCGTGAGCTTCGGTGCCATACAAGTATCCTTTCAGACGCCACAAATGGCTGGCACGGGCAAGTATCGGCCCAGGGTAATGTGCCAAAGGGTGAAAGTAGATATTGTATATGGCCAGACTGGCGTAGTAAACAAGAGGCTGTATCCCGACATCACAGAGTTAAAAATGTCGGACCTGGCTTTGGTATTTTCCTTTTCATTATCATCTGGAAGCTTACCAAAAGCAACAAAGCTCCTCCAAAGGCGAGCACAGCTTGCGGAGAAGTCAACAAGGTGACAAGCGCCATTGTCCTGGTAGAGAGCGAGTTGAGAAACTGGCAGTAGTACTGGTATGTCTGGGTGAACGCTCGTGATTTTTAGGTGTAGAATTTGATGGAAGTACTAGTACATGGTAGATGTCGTATAAAAACTCCCTTTCGTGGCAGTAAGTTTGACCAAAGAATCAAAGGGCACCACCATGCTTATACAAGGTATGGGTAGGCTGTTGAATTTCCTTGCCGATTCCGGCACAGTTCCGGGGCCTTCATCCAGCCATTCCGTAGACCCCTGGTCGAGTCGGGGGTAGTCTCGTGGCAGGATGTATACCAAGTATAACGAGTCATGCACCCACTACGTATAAAATGAAGTTGATCAGAAAGGTGCCGGCCAGTCATTTGGAAGGGTGTTGTAGCCAAAAGTAGACGTAGGTTAGCACAAGGTTTGAACAAAAGATGCGGAAGAAGAGATAAGAAGCTACTAAGTAGCCAAGATGCAAGTGCCCTGCATTCTATGCTGTATCCATTTCCACAGGCTCTAGTTATATTTGGGACGATAGGATGTCACCACTTGAATTCACGTCATGAAAATCCCATGTCACTATGTGCAACTCCAGGCATTGTCAATCGGTATTATGGCGCCATTGACTTGTGCGGACTGTGGTGATGCCAAAAACGCAAGAAGCCGTGCGGCTTTGATCGGGTCCGCGGGACCTGTAGGACTTGCATGAAGTAAATGGACAGGCCTGAGAATAAATTCATCAGCACTTGGTCTCGGTACATGCTAAACTGTCCAGGAAATGGTCAAAATTTGTTACAAACCTCCAGTGCTCCATCGACTCTGCGTCAATCTTTTCCGGATCAATCGCCTGAGTACCACCCGTGAGAAAACCTAGAAGAAGACCGTTTGTTTAGGCATCGAATACGGACTTGGAAAGGATCAAGGCTTCTTCTCACCGCCCGGACAGATGGCATTACATCTGATGCCATCATTGCGATAGCGCCATGCGACGTTCTTGCTCAGACCGATCTGCAAGCATTGACAATTTGTGAGCGACAAGCCTATCATCAGGCAGATTCCGTCAAGACTCGTGAGACTTACAATTGCATGTTTGCTAGCAGTATATGCTGTTCCCGCTATGGCGCCGCTCAAGCCGGCCTTGCTCGACACATTGATAATACTCCCCGGACTCTTTTGCTTCTTGAACTCAGCCACGGCATATTTGGACAGTAATGCAGGGACTGTCACGTTGACTGTCATAACACGGTTCCAGGTTTCGGGATCCACCTTCTCCAGCCCTGCAAAATTGTCTCGAGCACCGGCAATGTTGAGCAAGATGTCGGCTCGGCCGAACCTCTTGACGCACGCTTCGACGATATCCTGAGGTGCCGACGGCTCGAGGAGGTCGAAAGAGCCAAAAGCAAAGTTAGTCTGCGCTGCCAGAGCCTCGGGGGGCTGGTTGAGGTCAACGCCAAAGACCGAAGCTCCCAGTTCGGTAAAATGTTGTGAGCTTGCCAGACCAATTCCTGAAGAACAGCCGGTCACGATTGCGACCTACAGAAGCCAAAATATGTCAGTTAGTGTGTCTATGCTTCTTGACGCTGTGAGAGATTCTTTCCACCGCAGAGACCAAGCACAATATACTACGTAAGGGCAGGAAGAATAACATACAAGGCCTTTGAGATCATTCATCTTGGATGGATAAGCTAGTAGTATGTATGAATCTTCAATGCGTGAGTGTCACTAGACTGATGATGGGCTTTGTACGCCATTGTCAACACTTGTCTGCACAGAAACATCTTACTCAGAAAAGACTCTGGCGGGAGAACTGAACCGAGTGCGCACTGAAAATGAGTTTCAGCGACTCGTTTCTAACTACCGGTTTTTTGGCTACGGTCGGAAGAGTGTACATGTATTAACGTCCCTTGACGACCATACTTTGACGACCAGTACAAAATCTTCCTCGTCTTGCTGATTGGCTCGGCAACTTCATGCCAAATGTCTCTATAAGACCGGTCGATCTCCAAGGTCACCGAACCCAGCTGAGCTATGTAGGTAAAGCTCGAGTACATCGGAATTTGATTCAGCCCTTGCAGCATACAGGAGTAGTATGATTGGAGACCCCGGATTCATGTACGACGTAGATTGATGATCCCCCCCCCACCAAAGCTAAAAGACCTACACAGCCAAGAAGGAGGGATTCGAGGGAATCTGTTTCTTTTATCCTCTATCTTTAGGAAATCTAAGTAAGTGTTTGTGTGTGGTGGTCTTTAGTAGAAGGGGATCCGTCTAGGGGAGGTAGATACTAAGTAGTCTGTTTCATTTGATGGTAACCATGTATAGTAGTGATATACTGGTAGTCCAACCACATCTAGCATCTATCCCCCGTCCACCAAAGCACAAAGGATTCCTCCATCAATCACAACTTCTCCTTGGCCGCGATCCAGAGACCATTCGCCTCAGTCAAGACCCTCCCCTGCTCATCCTCGAGAGACCCGACCAAGAACCACTTGCGCCCCTCGCGCCGCTCGAGCCGCGTCTTGATCACCACGGTGCATGGGTTGATGACGGGCGCGCGGTAGTTGGTGGTGAGGTAGGCGGTGTACAAGTTCGAGCGCATGCCCATGGTCTGCTGGCGGTGAATCTCGACGCAGATGCTCAGGGCCTCGTCCATGAGCGCGCAGAGCACGCCGCCGTGCGTGGTGTCCTTGAAGCCGTTGAGGTCGGAGCGCAGGTCGAGCAGCCAAATACAGTCTGGTGGTGGTGGCGGCACAGCGTCATCTCGGTTGCCCTTCGCCGCCGACTGCGGTTCTTCCGGCGGAGTGACAAAATTTTTGCGGATCAAGGTCAACGCATTCGGGACGGTGCTGGGCGATCGGATGGTCTTTGCAAAGAACGTGTCGACCCCTTCGGACTTTGGTATGCGTGAGAAGGTCACGACGGGCTTGTATACCGGATCGTCAATGTATTTTCTCGCCCATGTCGTTCGGAAGTGTTCAATCTCGTCGGGAGGGACTGGAGTCGAAGTGATGTATGCGAGGAAATCTGTCCAATCTGGTCCCATCTTTGAATTGTTCATCCAAATCCAGTCTTACTCCCTAGTACTAGTACTTCCTAGTTCTGTATGAGAGGACAGGTACAGATACTTGCTTGATGCTGATGTACGGTTGGTGGCTAGTAGTTATAATAGGTCAATCCCAGAGCCTCGGCTCCCCAGATTTACTGTTCGGTATTTTGGAGATTGTCGAGGCGGCCATCTCCATAGCGATTTGCTTTGGACGCTTGGCGATCGCGGGAAGTGATTACTAGTAGTAGTAGGTACATACATATTACTGGTAACACTTTACAAGATAGTACTAGTTCTGATGGTGATCTGATGCAGTTTCGATACTGCGTCATCCGAAACGTATCAAACGCAGTATTGAAACCGCCTCAGAGTGCCATCAGAGAAGTATCAAAGTACCAGTATCAAAGCAAAGTACTACTACTAGTGTACTAGTAGTTCATCCTGGATAGGGTCAGCAGGGGCCCAGACAAAAAGGAGAAGGAGAGAGTCATTTCACGATAGATGTCTGCTCTGATTGGTAAGTGGACCTATGAATGAAGCTTGATTGATGCCCATAGCCACTTCGGACCCAACCGAGCTAGGACCTCATTATCGCCCGCTCAAAACACCCTGATGCTGGTGTTTCCATGTCGTTGTTTCTGAAGAATTCTATTTACTCGTAACAGTTCATTGGCCCGATCCTCCAATCTTGGTCCCCAGGTCATCCCCCTTTCCTGATCAGGAGATCAAGAGCAGAGTCCTCAGAACGATTGATTGCAGTGGTGTCGAGCGAGGTCAAGGAGACATTTAGCTGACCCCGGGAATGTTGGGTTCGCTGGATGGCTTGGGGGGAGGCTTGTTGGGTGGTGGCATCGCGAAGTCGACCATGGTCAAGTTTGTTCCTGTTTCAATTCGAGTTAGCACTTGGTATCTGACACGAGTATAACTGCAACTGGAGTAGGGAGCGACTGGGGCAAGCTTACCAGAGTAGGTTGCCATTGCGGATGTTGCTAAGTTTGCGGTTGGAAGTTTTTTGACGTTGGATCTTGGTATTGTTGGGCTTTGATGAATTGTATTGTATGGAGAGAAGAAAAGGTCGACAAGAAGCAGAGAGATTCAGAGATATTTAAGGGGCTTGGAGGCATTGTGTAAACGGGGCTGTTTGTCGACTGGTGACGACGTATGCTGTGGTCGTTTGATACATGACTGGGTCACTGGGTGATATAGAGTGACAACATCTTAGGATGGCTCGCAGTCACTATTGTTTGTCCTTGTGAATGTCTGTACAGGTGACCAATATACTAAGTACTAGGTGACACACTCAATTATTCACATTGTTAGACCGAACTCATATCACTACAGACCCTCTCGCAAACAATTTTGGTCAGAGAGTACGCTACATACCACGGTGGAGGTACTCTCGGCACTGGTGTCACCGCGCGCTCTCCCTAACGACGGCACCTAATCTGGAGTACTAGTAACATGAGGACAAAAGCAATCGCCACTCCAGCTGGGCTGTGTTATGTTGTAACAGCAAAGAGCCCTTAAGCATAAATTTGTCATCACCGTAAACGAGTCACCCAAACTTCCTAATCTAGCTTAGCTGCTTTTTGGAACCAGATCTGTCACTGGCCACAAGCTGCTTCTGGCATTCACGTGACCTTTACCCCCGCCAAAAGTAGCAAGTACTAAGTGGTACTCCTGCTAGTAGTCGTAGATAGCAGAGTACAAGGAGCAGGCTCCTCCTGGTTTCTTTTCAAGTCGCTCTTGGTTGTATACTAGTATCAAGTATGTAATTATGATGTGTATGTGAAAAGTCTCCCTGTCTTGTACTATCCTCATGAGCAATATCCTTCCGACATACGCCACGGCAGTTGTGTTGATCTCAATGAGGAGACAATAATGTATACCAGACGAGCTCTGTCAGCACCTTGCTACAGACACGCATGACGAGATGGACGAGACGATGTCCGAGGGTCAAGACCAGTACTCCGGCCTCAGACTCTATCAAAGCAAAATGACCAGCTCTCTCGGACCCCGGGTGCTCGCTCTCCTGGTTCGACTAGACATTGTCCTCATCTTGGTTTCTCGTGGTTGCAAGACGTTGCTCAATACTACGACACGATGGGACTAACTGACCGCTAGGCCTTGGTGACGAGCACAGCAAAGGTCCTAACTTTAAGTTGTATCAGCACGAGAAAGCGGCGAGACTGAGGTGCAAGTTCCATCATAGCGGTACCAAGACTCTCTCTTCTTCTCAGCCTCGTCCACTCTAGCCGCCACAGCACTGTTCGAACGTTAAGATCACAAGACCAGACAGATACCATAGGTCTCAGCAGCCCATAACTTCAAGTTCTTGCGACAAGATATCGCGCCTCCTCCAGGTCTTTCTTTTCTTCGCATTTCGGTACGTGATCTGCTTGACAAGGACAGGATTTGAAGAGGATACTTCATAGTACTAAGTAAGTACTCCTGAGGAGGTACGCTGTCAACGAAAAGCTGCTCCTGCTCTCGATGGCCATCAAATTCAAGTTGGATTACTACTCAGTACTACTTAGAGGTAGTACTAGTAGTTAGTTGCTTGCGTTGCCGCGAGGCTTGCAACACCCAACCCCCTGTGGTCCTCCTCCATCAGAGTAACACAAGAATAGATCCGAGATAGCCGGCAGAAGCGAGATCGGTTTGGAACAAGGCAAGAAGAACTAGAATTCATCCACCCCACCATATCACAGTCCAACTTGGCGCCGCATACTTATGCACGCGCAGGCCAGAACACTTGAGAGGAGTTGTGGCAGGTTTCATTATCTTCAAAATGGATACAGATCACAGGTCTCCATGATCGCCGTCATCATACCAACATCAACTTCTCGAAAACACCTTCACAGCGCCATCTCCACCACAGCTGATGACCCATCTTCCATCAGGACTCCACACGACACCACATACTCCTTCGCCTCTCATAATGCGATGACTCGAGATCTCTTGTGTACAGCTTCGTTTCTCGAGTGACCAAAACCGTAAACTTGCATCGTGACCCCCTGATACCAATTCTTTACCGTCCGGACTTAATGACAAGGAAGAAATCGCCGATGGATGTGCGAGCATGGTGTATGTGCATTGCCCTGGGAGAAGAGAAGTCAGCCTCGTGGGGGTCATTCAGTGCAAAAAGTCAACGTACCACTGTTTGCATCAAAGAAACGAATATACCGATCCTCATAACCAGCAATCACGACCCCTTCAACACCGCCTTCTGAACCGGTTGCGCCGTGGACCACATCTTCTTCACCCATCGATCCACGTCGACCAGGTGCGACCGAGTCCCTTGTGTCGAAGCCCGCGCTGCTGGCAACAACTGCGTTGATACCCGTGTTCGGCGTACCATCATAAGTCTCTTGGCTGGCCATTCCGACAATCTCTTCCCCTGTCCGCGTGTCAAACACCAGGACACTCGCGTCCGTATAACCAACAACAAAATTTTCGCCATGCGCGCCCAATGGCGAAATCGATGTAGGCGCCGGTTTATCTGCCCGTTCTATGCGATGCACCAAACTGTAGTTGAAAGGAGTCGTGCTGGCGATACTCGGTTGAGGTGAGCTGGGGAAATTCGAGCCGGCAGATATCGAGTTGGCTCTTCTACTCCCTCTGG